CCAAGCAAGATGCACACACCGTGTGTATAGAATAGAGGGCTGGCGTCCTCTCCCGGGCTCCTTCACACACATGTCCCCGTTCACAGGTGAGAAAACAGAGGCGCAGGAAGGATAAGCGAGGAGTTCAAGATCTTCAGATTATGAGACTCAGAGCTGGGGCCCAAGACATGATCTCATCCAACAAGCCCATTGTACACACAGGGACAAGAGGTTCAGAGAAAGGAGGAGACTCATGCACAGTCACCAAGAGGTCGGTGGCCGAGTTAGGACTGGCACCTGAGCTCCCTAGAGCTGCCACTGGACCTGCTGTTGGCCACACATCCCTGAGACTGAAGTGAGGGCAGCCTGCAGCCAGAGTCCTGACTCAGCACTTAGGGCCACACTCCACACCTGGACTTACCTGGTGTCCATCTCAACCTGCGTCCTCAGGCACAGCCCAGGGCACTGGGATCTATGGTGTCCTGAGCTTCCGGTAAATTCCTGAAGGAACATCAGACCTCAGCCCGGAGCTCAGGGGCTGTCCCTCCACACCTCAGCCACCCTGCCCGCTCAGCCTAAGCCTCCCAAACCCAGAGAATAAGCCCTCCTAGGTCACCCACATGGCAGACACATGGGGAGAAGTCAGATTCCTGTTAGATGTGACCATCAGCAAGGATCGGGGTTGAGAGACCCTGGAAACCCTGTCACCCACCGTCCCTCCTTCACGGATGGAGAATCCTGGGGTCCAAAGTCTCCAGATGACTCAGCAAACCTGGAGGTGAAGCAGGGACACAATCAGGACCTCAGGCTTCAGTTATGAGTCGGTTCCACTGCTTCAGAGCACGGGCTCGTCTCTCCTCAGGCCGTGTCTCTGCTCTCCGCCAGAGATTTAAATGCTTCACTGGAAGTTTCTTTGTCTACGTCACCCTCGCTTGGTGTCCAGGCACATTCCATCCCCACCCTCTCCCTACCCTCCCCGTGTGGTCTTCCCAGGTCTCGCCAGTCACCTGCTGACCCATCTGCTGACACCGCTTTGCAGCTGCCCCACCTCTGGGGTGTCAGCTGTGGCCTCCTGTGGGCTTACGCCCACCTCCGTGCTGTGACCCAGAGCCTTCTCTTCCTGTTTCAAGGAGGGCCAGCAGGGAGTCTGCTGCTGCTGCTTCTTGGCCAGCCCTGCCCCACATTCTTCTTGCTTGAGGCCTCCCCGCCTTTCCCTCTCCCATCAAGAGTCAATGCCCCTACCCCCGTCCCATCTCCCTCAGGCTCCGGGGGCTTAAAAATCTAGGCAGGGTCACGGGGTCCCTGGGTGGCTCAGTCGGTTAAGCATCCGACTTCCACTCAGATCATGATCTTAGGGTTCGTGGGTTCGAGCCCCATGTCGGGCTCTGTGCTGACAGCTCAGAGCCTGGAGCCTGATTCGGATTCTGTGTCTCCTTCTCTCTCTGTCCCTCCCTTCCTCACGCTCTGTCTCTCTCTGTCTCTCAAAAATAAACGTTAAAAAAAAATCTAGAAGGGGCAACAGGAAGAGCCTGGATTTGAGGAGGGCATGGGGCTAATCCTGTAATTTCTAGAGGCCTCAGGAATCCCACCTGTAAAATGGTGGGTGAGGGGAGAAAGAGCTAGACAAGTCCTTCTGCTGTGTGATTCCAAACAAGCTGGCAAAGTCCTTGGTTTTGGAGAGACTCCCACCTACTCCTGCCCCAGACAGGTTCAGGTAGAACCCACTTCTAGCTTAGTTTCTTACATGCTAGTAGACTTTGGGCAGGTGGCTTCCCCCTGGGAACCGGTTCCATCATCGGCAAGATGGAGGTGATAACCATGTCTGCACCACAGGGTGGCCGTGAGGATTAAATGAGATGAAATGAGATGTCATCTGCAAAGAGCTGACCAAAGAGCCAGCACATTCTAGGAAACCTGATGACAATCCCAGAACAGCCAACAAGACGAAGCCCTAAATAAGTATCAGGCATTATGGGAAATTTAGTCTTACAGCAACTCATGAGGTGGCTTCTACCCAGAGCCAGCTACTTACCTGGGGGACACAGGACAGCATGAATCTGCATCAGACAGGCAATCCCCAAGGGACTGCAACCTTAGCACGAAGACAAGCTCAGTACCTGGATTAAGAGTGTGCAAGAAGCTCTGTGAGTCACCTGCCAAATGTAGAGTGACACTGCCAGCCTGGGGCAGGGACAGCTGACACCTTGCCTTGCCCTTAGGGGCTGCAGGTCCACAAGCCTGACCCTAGCTTGTTGGCTCTAAGCAAATCCATATGAGTAGAGCTGAGCAGCCCAGATCGCCATGAAGCAGGGGAGCCCAGCGAGGAACACCCCTCCATGTCCCACGAGCCAGGGTAACTCACCTACCCCAGGTAGGCTCGCAAGGAAAAGCACACAGGTGAAGGCCAGACTCCTAATGACTGACCATCAGAACCCCGTCAGAATCAGAAAGAATCAGAAACTGGAAAGAAGGAACCCTCAATCTTGAGGGGCGGCTTGAGGAGAAAGGCTCCGTGCCCTTGAATTGAACAAGAATTTGGGAGTACACTCTAGCTTGGGAGGGATATCAGTTAGGGTCTAACCATAAAAACCAGAGAATATTTTCCGTGGGTGATGAAGGGAGCTGAGGGCCAGACAGGAAAGAGTCAAGCAAGCTGGATCCTGGCAGGAAGTCGTTTCCATGCCTGGGCTGCTGGGGCAACAGGAGAGAGGTTGCTCTCCAAACCATGAGGTCACTTATGTGGAAGCTGGAACCACAGAGACAGAGCCACTGACCATAGGAAGCTACCTGGGACAGAGGGGAAGGGGGAATCATTTCCTGACTGTTCCCCTGGACTCCCAGTCTCCTGCTGGTGCACCCAGTGACTGACCTCTGCTGGAAGCCAGCCCCCTGGGAGACAAAACAGAGAGGGGGAGGGACAAAAAGAGGATCTGGAGGCAAGGAGACCCAGGATGAGCACAGGTGGTCAGAGGCTTCTTAGGGGTAAAGACATTTAACTGAGCCCTCAAGGATAAGTAGGTGCCAGCCAGGCTAAACACTAGGGGAGAACATTTCAGGCACAGGTGGCAGCTAGTGCAAAGACTCAAAGGTGGGAAGAAGCCCGGTCCCAGAGGGATAGAAAAGAGTGTAGCTGATGGAAGAAGGGAGACAGGAATTTCCCAGGCTTTGAAGCTGATACATGTCAAGTATTGGTCTTACAGATGTGAAAATGGAGGGGCAGAGTGTGGCATCCAGAGCCCAGAGAATCTCTCTAATAAGATGATTATCTGACCCAGACTTGATCTAGACCAAACTAGGTGCTTGGAGATGGAAAGGAACACTACACATTCCTTCACGAGCCTCCCTTTCCACGTACACAATCCTGAAGGACGGTCCTTACCCAGTTCCTAGTCTCTCCAGCTATATACACCACGCTGAAGGTCTCTGCCCTCTCTCCAAAGCTGCGATGGTTTGCTTTCCTTGGCACGAGTGCTCTCTTTGCCAGGGACACTCTTCTATCACCCTGGAAGGTGTTTGAATCATGCTTCCTACTGCTTATGGGAGTCATTCGGTCAGCGTCAGGTTCAAGATTCAAACAGCTCAGCTACTGAAGCACCAAAACGCCAAGAAACAATGAGAGGAGAGAAAGAAAGCCAGAGAAGAAAACTGAGTCTTACCAAATCTCAGTATGAGACTGGAAATCACACTTTGGTAGATCACTTGGAGTGAGGTTATGATCATGTAATCACTTCTTATGATTCAACCTGGCTTTAGGACAGACTGGGTCTGCTGAACTGTGGACTTTTGCTTTGCCAAAGGAGGGCTGCAAGTTTGGGCAGAGCTGAACTGCTTAGGACAGGAGAGGTGGGGTGCTGTCACTAACAGGCCCATACTTATCCACAAAAATCCCCCCTGAATGAATGTTGAGAAATATTTGAGGAATATTTATTTAATGTTGGGACAACTGGACATCCACATGTAAAAGAATGAAGTGGACCCCTACCTCACGCCATATATAAAAGTTAACTCAAAATGAACCAAACACCTAATGTAAGAGCTAACACTATAAAACTCTAACAAGATGGGAGTATATTCATGAGCTTGACTCAGGCAAGGTTTCTTAGATACAGCACCAAATGCATGGGGAGAGACTCAGCGAGTGCAGGAGTTCTTTATGAGTGACAAAAACATCCAGACCTTAGATTGTGGTTGATGGATGCACAACTCAGTGAAGATACTATGGGTGAAATGTGTGGCATGTGAATTATACCTCAAAATACGTTCTTTAAAAGAATAGTCATTTAAAGAGACACCAAACTATTACTAGCCTACAGAGTGGGTCTACCTGCCTCCATCCAGCCCTGAGTAAAGCAGATAGACCTTGGAAACCTTCAAGTCTGTGTTTGAAGCTTCCGTTGAAAGCCAGGCTCTCGGGACCAAATGTTCGCTGCTGTGGAACTACACAAAAGCATGAGGAAAACAAGTATGAGAAGTGGGGTGGCTTCTTTTTTTTTTTAATGTTTATTTTATTTTTTTTTTAATTTTTTTTTTCAACGTTTATTTATTTTTGGGACAGAGAGAGACAGAGCATGAACGGGCGAGGGGCAGAGAGAGAGGGAGACACAGAATCGGAAACAGGCTCCAGGCTCTGAGCCATCAGCCCAGAGCCCGACGCGGGGCTCGAACTCACGGACCGCGAGATCGTGACCTGGCTGAAGTCGGACGCTTAACCGACTGCGCCACCCAGGCGCCCCAATGTTTATTTATTTTTGAGAGAGAGAGAGAGAGAGAGAGAGAGCGTGAGCAGGAGAGGGGCAGAGAGAGAGAATCCAAAGCAGGCTCCAGGCTCCGAGCTATCAGAGTCCAATGCGGGGCTCAAACTCACGAACTGTGAAATCATGACTTGAGCTGAAGTCGGATGCTTAACCAACTGAGCCACCCAGGCACCCCAGAAGTGCAGTAACTTCTAACAGTACTAGAGCACTTAGACGAACAAGATGGCAAGCTCAGAGTCATAATTTGTTGGCCCAAGACATGGCCAGACAGTCAGAGCCTTCTATGACTGAGCTATAAAGAATCTCTCACCTCTTGCAGCCAAAGAGATGAAGGAGCCAATAATCAAAATAGAAGTCTGAGAATGCAAATTGTCACATACAACGCTGGTTAAGCGCACAGCCTTCACACAAGCATGCACACACGTGCACACACACACAGAGACATGCCCGAAAGGCATCCAAATGACCAACAAGCATATGAAAAGTGCTCAACACCATTAGTCATCAAAGAAATGAAAAGCAGGGGTGTCTGGGTGGCTCAGTTGGTTAAGCATCGACTTTGGCTCAGGTCATGATCTCACAATCTGTGAGTTCGAGCCCTGCGGCAGGCTCTGTGCTGGCAGCTCAAAGCCTGGAGCCTGTTTCCGATTCTGTGTCTCCCTCTCTCTCTCTGCCCCTCCCCTGCTTACACTCTGTCTCTGTCTCTGTCTCTCTCTCTCAAGAATAATAAACATTTAGAAAAATTTAAAAAAAGAAATGAAAATTAAAACCACGCGAGATACTACCAATCCTCCCTAGTGTGGCTAAAATTAAAGAGACCGATGATGCCAAGTGTGTCTGAGGACGTCGAGCAGCTAGAATTCCCGTCCCTTCTGGTGGGGGTGTAATTGGTAAAATCACTCGGAAAAACGCTTTGGCAGTATTTACTGAAGCCAATGTACATCTACCTCATGACTCAGCAATTCCCTTCCCGAGTATATATCTAACAGAAGAGAAATACCCAACAGAAATCTGTCCACCGAAAGACACATAAGGGGCGCCTGGCTGGCTCAGTTGGTGAAACATGCGGCTGTTGGTTTTGGGGTCGTAAGTTCTAGTCTCACCTTGGCCACAGAGCTTACTTTAAAAAAATGTACAGTTCATAGCAAATTTTTTCACAGTATGTCCAAACTGGGAACATTCCAAAAGCCCATCGGCCATAGCACTGATAAATAAATTCACATATGTTCTGAGAGCAAACTAATGCTAAATGCAAAAACATGCGAATGAATCTCACAGATGTAATGTTGAGCAAAAGAAGCCAGACCCAAGGTAATAATACTCCATTTACGTGAAGTTCAAGAAGAAGCAAAATTAATCTATGCTGGTAGTAGTCAGGAGATTCATTGCCTCTGGTAGGGGACTGTTGCCTGAGAGGGGGCGTGAGGAAGCCTTCGGGGGTGCTGGAAATGTTCTATCGTAGATCTTGTTCTGGGCCATAGTAGTACAGAATACACACACACGTACAGATATCCCCTGCTTTTCCAGAATACACACACACACACACACACACACGCACATACATATAGGTAGAGATATCCTCTAATTTTCCAGAATACACACACATACAAGCACACATATATAGGTACAGATATCCCCTGCTTTTCCAGAATGCACACACACACACACACACATACAGATATCCTCTGCTTTTCCAGAATACACACACACACATGCACACACATATAGGTACAGATATCTCCTGCTTTTCCAGAATACACACACAAACACACATACACACACACACGTATGTACAGATATCTCCTGCTTTTCCAGAATACACACACACACACACACACACACACACACACACACACACACACACATATGTACAGATATCCCCTGCTTTTCCAGAATACACACACACACATGCACACATATAGAGGTACAGATATCCCCTGCTTTTCCAGAATACACACACACACAAATACACACACATATAGGTACAAATATCTCCTGCTTTTCCAGAATACACACACACACACACACACACACACACACACACACACACACACACATATGTACAGATATCCCCTGCTTTTCCAGAATGCACACACACACATGCACACACATATAGGTACAGATATCCCCTGCTTTTCAAGAGTTCACCTTACACCACTTGGCTTTTGCGAAAGACCTACATTAGTACCTGTTTTCACTAACCAAAAGAAATCCAAAGAGGATTTTTGCTTTTACAGAAAAAAGGCGCTCAGTGTTTGTTTTGCAGGGGCTGTTAGTTACAGAGGCAGAACTCACTTGGAGCAGCCCCTCCAGGCTCCTTCCCTGGGAACCACACACAACCTCTCAGCATCAAGATGCCACAACTCTGAACTGTGTCTGGGAGCCTTTGTGCTTTATCTCAATGTAATCTGTGCATCTGTTAACAAGATGTGTCCCCAGGCATCAGAAAAGTCTAAGAAAGGTTCTTTTGGGGATCTGGGAATGTTCAAAAAATTTTCTGCTCAAATGAATGGTAATTGCTTTTTTGCTTTACACCCCTTTGGCTTGCAAAGTTTTCCTAGGAATGCTCTGCTTTCTACTTTCAGATAGCGGAACACTCCTGTACGCTAATCTTTTTGTATGTACGTATCTTCATATATGCATATATATGTGTGTGTGTGTGTGTGTATAATTTGTATATATTCTGTGTCTATATATGTATAGTATATATATTCATTTATACAGCTCTACATTTAAGATAAAAAATTTTATATACATGGTCTCTTGTTTGTTAAAGAATTATTTTGGAAAGAGTGCATCTTAAGAATTGTGATAAGGAGATATGGGAAGATTTAGATATTTCAGAGTACTTCAAGCCGACAGAACATGCCAAGCCTCCCTTGTTAGCATAATGAGAACTTTTTCCTCCAGGCTGAGAAGGCTGCTGCTGTCTAAATATCCCTGTTATAGGGCACCTGGGTGGCTCAGTTGGTTAAGCATCCGACTCTTGATTTCAGCTCAGGTTGTGATTTTGTGGTCCCGAAACTGAGCCCCATGTCCGGCTCCATGCTGAGCATGGAACTTGCTTGCGTTTCTGTCTGTCTGTCTCTGTCTCTCTCTTTCTTTCTCTCTCTCCCTCTACCCCTCTCCCCTGCT